CTCCTGGGAGAGGCGATGGGAACTGGGACTCGCAGTTCCTGGGACAATCCCAGCCTCATTTGTTTGGTTCCTTGGCCACCAGAACGACCCGACCGGCCCCGTGACTTGGAGCTGACCGACCTGGCCGAGAGGAGCGTGCGGCTGACGTGGATCCCCGGCGATGACAACAACAGCCCCATCACAGGTCAGCCCCTGGTCCCTCTGCCCCGCATCCCTCCCGCCTTCCTCTGCACGGTGGAGGGAAATCATCTCCCCTAACCCCACCTCCTCCGTATTTCCCCCCCCAGACTACATCGTGCAGTTTGAGGAGGACCGGTTCCAGCCTGGCATGTGGCATAACCACTCCAGGTACCCCGGGAGCATCAACTCGGCCATCCTCAGCCTCTCTCCTTACGTCAACTACCAGTTTCGGGTGATTGCGGTGAATGACGTGGGCAGCAGCCTGCCCAGCATCCCCTCCGAGCGATACCAGACCAACGGGGCACGTGAGTACCGGCCTTTCGGTCCCTTCCCGCGGTGCCTTGACCTCATCCTTAGCATCTGGCCACCAATCTTGGTATAGGTTCTTCCCCGTAACGCAAACAGATTTACACAGATGAGGCAATGAGCTGGTCCATGCACATGCTGGCGTGTAATTTTATATATCACATCCTCACACCTACGACTGATGCTCTGCAGAGCAGCAAAACTCAAGATTTATGCAGCGGTCACTCCAGTAGATTCTGCTGAGGGAAAGCCCGGGTTCACCTTACAGAGAGGCTTTCTAAAGAAAGTCTTTCATCCTTTCTGACCACAGGAAGCTCAGAAGCCTCTTGGAAAAGTAGATTTGAGAGTAAACTGGCCACGGGCTAAAGGCATTTTGTTCCAAAATTGCTAATTCACTGCCCGCTGCTCGAGCTGGCCAGGAGCCCACAGCAGTGAAGTGTGCTCCAGTCCACGACCCTGCCTCGGGTCTGCGGTTTGTGAGCCCGGTGCTTTGTACCGGGGAAAATTCACACGAGGGATTCACAGGGAGCTCAGTAGTTTTGCTGCATTTCTTAATTTTCACCATCGCAGAGAGATTTCTGCAATATCTGCTGGCATCTAGTGTTGGCTTTTGACATTGCTCTTGTTGAGGATTTCAGAGGTGGCAGTCTCGGCTCCTGCGGCCTCTTCACAATGGCCGGCTTTCAAAGATTTAGGACATTTTGGAGGGAAAAAAAAAAAAAAAAAGAAAGAGAAAGAGGCTCCTAAATAAACGACCTGGTTTTCAGAGTGCTGAGAGTCTCCTGTTCCATTAACCTGAATGGGAACTTCTGGAAAAATCAGGCCATTAACTTCTGTCTTGGAAGTACTTTTGGCTTGCACTGTAAAGGGTTTTCAACCGCTCAGACGGTCACTTTTCAGCGTTGTAAACTCTTTGTTTTTCTTTTTCAATGTGAATTTCAGGTCCTGAAATCAACCCAACAGGAGTTCAAGGGGTAGGGACCCAGAAAAACAACATGGAGATAACGTGGACGGTGAGTTCTTTGATGCCTGACAGCCACCCGGTATCTTATACCACTGCGGTCACAGATGCTAAGATACAGCAAACTCAGCATCTCTTGTGTGTGTGCTATACCACACAGAATACAACAACCTTAGTGGTGATACAGGAAATGAAAACCAGAGAGGACATTGTTAGTGCCTAGAAGGAGGCTTGCGATAACAATAATTTGCAATAATTGCCTCGAAGCCAAAGGAAAGACGCAGGATCACAGGCAGAGGTTGGGGAGGATGCTCGCTCTGGTTCCTTACGCAGTGAATAGGGCTCACAGACCAGCTCTTGCTTTTCTCATGGACCAGCAGGTGTCATCCACAAATAAGCCAGCAGCGGTAAGGAGGATAGAAACCACAGTGGGAGTGTGGGCTGGAATAAAAGGATACGGTTACTGGTCCTGCTTGGGTTTGGAGGGCGATGACTGGGTATGTCTCTCTTTGGGAACAAAAGTATTGATCTCCGTTGAGGTTTGCTGATGGAGCACAAAACAAGAACCAGCTGCTGAGCAGAACTTTTTTGGAGCTCCTTGACAAGAGAAATACAGTGACTCTTTCTCCTTCTCACTGCCTCTTTCTGTTCTGGTCCGTTAAGCCTCTGAATGCAACTCAAGCTTATGGGCCCAACCTCAGGTACATCGTGAGGTGGCGGCGAAGGGACCCCCGGGGGAGCTGGTACAACGAGACGGTGAGGGCACCGCGGCACGTGGTGTGGAACACCCCCATCTACGTCCCCTACGAGATCAAGGTGCAGGCGGAGAACGACTTCGGGCGAGCGCCGGAGCCCGACACGGTCATCGGCTACTCGGGGGAAGATTGTGAGTATTTCCTCGGCCAGAGGTCTAAGTGTTGCCGAAGGGCAGGATCCCACCCCAGGTCAGTGGGTTGGCACCTGTGCCCGGGACGTAGTCATGGCACTGCTTGATTGGGCACAAAAATCCAGTTACAGGCATTGGAAGAAAGAGGCTTGGCCAGCAGAGACTGTGCTGGGCAATGCCTACAGGACCCAGGTCACTGAGCCTCTGCCTTGCTCTCTGTAAGACCCAGATCACACTTGGAGTGTGGAGGGCAGTAAGATTTCATTTAAGATTCCAATAAACCACATTAAATGTTTTGCCCCTGATATCCATGGAGCACTGAGTTCATCTCAGATGTGAGGTGCTGGCCAAAAGGGCCTTGGTTCATCCTGGACTGGATTCTTGTGCCTTTCTGACAAGCCCAGCTTGGGCTCCTGGTTGCAACACACCATTGCCTCAGCTTATCTTTCCTTAAAGCTCTCCACCTGGTCACACACAACTTGGTTAGTTCTCCTTTCACCTTTTGTCTGGGCTTTTTTCACCTTCTGCACCTGTAGCATTGGGTCACTGAACTGTGGTTATCCTTAGATAACGTGGTTTGCTGCCAACAGCTTTATTTTTAGAGAAATATATATTAGTTCCTCACATTGCAGCATCAGTGGGGGTCCCTGGCTGCATCTCTGCATTACCTGCGCCTGTGCACTGCTGAATTCAGATGAACGGATGTGAAAATAACGGGTAGCTCTGTAACTCTTGGCCATTTGCAGGGGGAAAGGGGCCAGACCCCCTTCTTGCTAATGTGATCTCTTGCAGCAGGACTTCCTGCTATCAACACGG